GAGGACAAGGAGAATTAGGAGAACGAGGAGGATGAGGAGGAGGAAGAGGAGGAGGATGAGGAGAAAGGCGAGGAGGGTGAGGAGGAAGAGGAGGGTGAGGATGACGAGGATTCTTTTTTCTCTTTCACGCAGGTCATGTTTTGAAAGACGATGTCCTGTAGCTTACTGATGTAAATAAAAAAAAAATTATACAAAGATTTGATGATGTCGACCAAAAATGTGATGGTACTTTGGATTTAAATGTTTGTCCCTCCAAAGCCTATTTAGATCGGTGAGTGATGTAGAATAGAAAGACTGCTGCGCATAACGAGCAGAGAGAGAGCGCCCCGGCCGCGCGCGCACTATCGTCTTCAAACAACACGAGCGCTGTCTTGCTCTCTCTCTCCCTCGCAAATATTAATCAAATCATTTGACACGATAGTAAAAGGTTGGAAGACCGCAGTTTCATTTGGAGATTTTTAGAAATTAGAGACTCATGAACAACATCTGAACTCTTAATTATAAAGGCCGGTCTCATAGACGCCTGTCTCAAACACAAGCCGGTGCAGTTCGACGATCTGGGGAAATAAAAGCCCGGGCTATAATTTGATATAATAAGTTTTACGGTATGTGCTGTACGGTATGTGCTGTGGTCCAGTGGCAGAATCTTAGCCAAGCATGTCGGAGATTCTGGGTTCTGATCCGCATTCGAGTAGTTTATACAACCACTGATAAACATTATCGGTTTTGATGAGGGAAAAAAACTCTGCGAGTGCGGATTAGATGTAGAACCCAGAGAAACAGGGACACGTTTGTGAGGATTTTGATTTGTGATTTCACCGAAGCGCACGTCCGAGTGAAGACAACACATTTCAGCGCTACATCGCCTCTTATTTGACAAACGAATGCTGCTAGTTAACTGAAGATGTTTTATTTGTATTGGGACATCCGTGCCGCGAGATGTTTCAAAACAGGTGGGAAAAATATCGATTCTGGCAAAAAGTGGTGGGGACATGTCCCACCCGTCGCCCGTAAATGACGCATATGGAGGAGGGTGATGTCACTGCTGCAACTGTGCCTTTACTGACATCACCAAAAATGAACGTTCCGTCATCATTTACTCGCTCCAAACCTGCAGGACAATATCTTATGAACAAAAGCAGTGGATATATTCATCAGAAAATCCTCTTTATGTTCCACATACAGGATTGGAATGAAACGAGGAAGAGTAAATAAATGCAATAAATGAACTACTCCATTAACGGTGGAAGAAAACCATAGTTTGGGTTCAAAACACATTTCAGAATCAGTAATATTATTGATTGGACAGCACTGACACTATCAGATGAGAACAAACATTGAACTGAATAATGACAATATTGCCGTTTTAGAGCTTGAGTTTTGAGTTTGTGTCATATTTGATGAAGTTTGCATCACTGATTCTGCTATTTTCCTGTTTATTATTGAAGCTTCATGGAAATGACCAGCGCTGTAGAACTACGGCTGCTGTCCAGCGCTGTGTCCAGAGCGCACCGCAGGAGGGAGGCGGAGAGACATGATCCATCAACATGGACAGACTATAAACAGGCGAATGACACGTGGCAATATAAAACTGCGATTTCAAATAAACAACACGTGTTTAGAGACACATCTCAACAATAGAGCAGCGACACGGCACTGAGCGATCATTACAACTCATAACTCACAGGCCAGGGAGTTTAAATAAACACACACACACACTCTCTCTCTCTCTCTCTCTCTCTAACACACTCACACAAGAAACTTATTTCAAACTAGAAATGTATCTTGTTTCCGTCTATCGGAAGAATTGCATAAAACATCCATCTCTGGCAGACAGAAATCCACTGAAATTGTCAAGCTGATGCACATTAACTTGCTCTCACAAGTGTATAAGATTCTACATTTGAGTCAGTTTCAGGGATATTTGGAATATGGGATTTTGTCCATTTTAACAGCTTCTAAAGCTACCGAGAGTTCAAACACGCAGTATCGTAACTACGCTGATATGAGATTAAACAATAAAGGCCTTAAACATGAAGATTTCAAAAAGAGAAGTTTCATAAGAACAAGCATCTAAAATGACATTAATATATCTTTCCCACTTCTTGAATTAAGAGACTCTGCTTGGCAGGTCCTGTGGGGTCACGGGGCTCCTCATCCGCAAAACCCACAGTAAAAGTTGAGCCGCTCAACAAAAGGTCATAGACTATGTATTGGGCCAGGGAAAAGTGAATCTGTCCACCTCACAAACAAGACCGCATAGGTTCATTTAAACCCACCCTGAATATGTCCTTAAGGGCCACATCATTACAGTCCAATAGGTAAGAGAGAGTTCACAATACTCTCATAGTCCTCTATGGTGAGGTCTCCTTGACACAGATTTAGGAGAGAAAGTTGTATAGAGAACCAAAGTGGAGTTTATTACAAACAAGAATTAAACATGAAACAAAAACATGATGCATGAACTCAGAACACAAACACGACGCTTACCAACAGTGGTTACAGGGAAACGTCTCAGGTTACGTATGTAACCCTTGTTCCCTGAGAAAGGGAACGAGACACTGCGTTGGTGACGGCACTATGGGAACGCCCTTCAGCGCAGCGGGTCTGAATTTATGAATGAAAGCAAATCCAATCCTATTGGGGTTGTGTGATGACGTAGCGTGTGACGGTATAGGTGGACGTTTACAAAAGCACGCCGGCACACGGAAATGAGAAATGAACTCATTTCTGAGAGTTGAAATGAACACAGAAATGAACCTCCTCAGAGACGGGTTCAAGTGCCTTAGGTCTAAAATTGGACACGACCGTCCACCCTCCATTGGGAACTATGAAGTACCGGCTGTAGAGCCCGGACCCCCTGACTGTGTCACAGTCCTCCGTCTGCACCAGTCTGTCTTGTCATCAGCACTACACTTCCCAGGATCCTTTTGTCTCCTCCCCTGAACTCACTCCATCAGCCACCTGTTCCTCGTTTTGATCATCTGTTTCACCTGTTTCCACTCCATTATGTTTGATTCTTCCATGTATTTAGTTCCCTCTGTTCCATTCAGTCCTTGTCGGTCGATGTTGTATGTTACCCGGTGTTACCCTGTCTTCCTACCTGTATTTTGAAATAAATGAGTATCTTCGTGTTCATCTGGACTCTCACTCACTCCTGCACCCAAACCGTGACAGACTGGTGGGGGAACATGCTCTATGGCCCCTTTTTCCAGCAGCGAGTGAACTTCCTGTCCAACACCAGACCCTGCTCTGGGGTCGCTGAAGTCAAGACCACCTCGTTGAACTTTGGTGGGCGGACCTGGAAATATTTGTGAGGTTTTGCCATGCCTCTGTAACCAGCCCCTCGGGGATGGTGTCCGGTGTTTTGTGCGAGTCTTTGACGGCACCCTGAAGCGGAGAACCAGTAGGGAAAGACTGACCATGACTCACAGTGTGCGAACCTGAACACTGTCTGACTGCAGGCCTTTGGGGCAGAGTTGCACAACTCATTGTGTAAATCCAGGAAGAATGGTAGAGACCAGCGTGGAGGCTGTGCACGCTGCTGCTGGAAGAGCTCGTCAAGTTTGCTTTTAACACACGCTTACTGCCTCTCTTGTGGCCAAGAAATATCAAGTTTGGCCACAGCTCTCCTTCACCTTTCCTCTTCAGTTATGCATTTCTTCCACCAGACAAAAAATGCTGAAAATCAAGTATCTGAGTCGGGACCTCTGGTTGAGTTGACTCGGAATGACCCATTAATATATCGCCATGAATAAAAAAAGAAACTTGCAGAACAACAATTGATGGTTTTATGATCCTTCACATCCACTGTCGATGTTTCCAATACCAACACAAGTCCTTTTTCATCTGTTCGTCAGCTTGATAACCAAGATAATGTTGACTACGACACAGAAAACTGGACTGGACAACCGAAACAAAAGCTGAGGTTTATAGGATAATAAATAGGATCTGGGAGATTTAGTCGTGCAGGAATGAGGTATTTTAATATAAGAAATGCTTACATTCAAATGTCATATTTGACTTTAGATCAAGATCTGGCCGTAGTGTAAACTGGCCTTTATTTAGCTCTTCTGGGCCTGAAACACACGTTTGATTTATTCAGGCCTAAACGCAGTCCAGAAACACTCTCCAAGGTGAGCTCATGAAGAAACTCTCGGCTGTAATTGGGCTGATTAGATGCTATTAGAGGAGTTCACGGAGGAGAAGCACGAGCTGCAGTCCGGCTGTAGAGGCGCTCTCGACTCGTGTTTATACGTGATCGATAAACATCAATCCGGCTGCACCTACACACCAATCCTGGGCTTGACGTTAGCCAGGTATTCACTCGGATTGTTTTTTGTGGCATTATTTTCTGTGTGTCCAATTTTCTCTCAAGATTTGCACGCGGTCATTTATCAAACGCAGTAAGTGTGTTTACACAGTGTCTATTCAGTTTATGGCTGTAAAGGTGATCGGGGGGGAACAAAACACATTTAAATCTGATGTGATTGTATTTTCTTTTTTTTACATTAACCCTTTGATGCATGATCTTTAAAACTCACTTTTGTATTTATTGTGTGATATTAAACCTAAACCAGCATGATTTGACCCTTCACCTTTGACCCTTCCTCACAATGTTTTATGACTGAGTTATGATGTTGTTCAGGCTCGTGTTGTTCGTGTCGAAGAGTCGCTGTTTTCTGAAACCCTCACAATCGCCATTGTTCGTATCACTGTGATCAAGAGCTGAGATTCAGATATGATAATGAGCGTTCTGACCAATCAGAGCAGAGCGGCTCTCAGAGAGGCGGGGCTTAGCTTCGACGGAAGCGTTTCAGACACTGAGAGGAAAGAGCTGAAGCTGCAGTGGAGATTATGAGGAAATCAGTGTTTCTGAGCTGGAATGACGTAAACCTGTTAGAGGAGACGCTAAAACAACATTAGGAACCTCTAAAATAGCAGAATAGATTCAAGCGGTTTGCTTAAACTTGATCTACTGAGGAACAGAAAATGATTTAAATAAAGATAATTACACATTATAAAAGTGAAACTTTTTTCTAGTTGTTGGCCAACAAAAACAGTTATTTCAAGTTCCAGCATGTTGTAAAGCATTTCCTCGGTGAGGTTGCTCATGCTGGGCATCGGTTCACACGAGGCAGGCCCCGCTTTAACATCAAATAAAGCATTTGTGCCGCATTTTCGCTGACTTAATGCTCAGGGAATTTGATTCTTGTGATTCCAAGAGTTTCTAGGTAAGAGTTGTCTGTGATATCATCAGAAGTGACATCATGTCTCGAGTCAGAACGCGTTTGCTGATGAACGACTTCATGTGTGTGTTGTCATGACAGGTGTGTGTTGTCTTGACAGGTGGATGAAGGAGTGAAAAAGCTCTTGTTAATAATGAACGACAGATGGTAGATTACACTTTGATTGCAAAACCTCGTTCCAGCACATCAATTTGAGGCGCTTTGCGGAGAAGGCTGTCAAACGTATTAAAAGCTCTTAAAGCAGTAATTAGCACACAGAATTAGTCAAACCAAACATTATTCATTATTCAATATTTTTTTACTAACCCTAACCCTGTGAAATATCCACTGGTCATATTTTATTACCATTTTCCGAATATTCTGTGATAATGTGAGAAATGTTGAAGGCGTCTGAATGATTTAAATTTAATTTAATTTTGGTTTGACTGTATGTGTGTGAAACTGGGAAAGGCTTCCATTAGATAAGAGTAGATGTGTTATATGTGGAACTGCGGGTCCCCAGACGGCCATTACTCCCAATCTCCGGTTTCGGAGCGAGTCTCGCTCAAGCCTGTTGCTCTTGGCTTTCCACCAAAGCGTGAAACTATGAAAATCGTCCAGTCATGGCCTGAAGAGCTCAAACCGCCGGTGTTCTCCAGCCCAGAGAAGCCAGTGGAGATACCGTCCCACAACTGGAGCTGGATGTTCCCCGGCTCTGCCAGCGTCAGATAAACGCCCAGCTTCCTCAGCCGGTTTATCAGCATCTCTCATGTGTCGAGACCCTTCAGACAACAGGACAGAAATAGCCTGGACGTGTTGTGTAGCACTCATGGAAACAAAGCCTTGATGGCAGACCCGAACACTGCAGTGGGGTCAACTCAGCCATTCCTCTGTGTGATGATGAACAGCTAAAGAGATGAGGATTTTATTACTCTAAAAGCCGTTCACACTGGCTACGTTTACATGCAATAATCCGCTAATAATGGGATTGATGGCTCAACCGCATGGAAATAGCGCAATGATGTGGAAATAGAAAAATGACGTGGAAATAGAAAAATGACGTGGAAATAGCGCAATGATGTGGAAATAGAAAAATGACGTGGAAATAGCGTAATGACGTAGCAATAGCATAATGATATGGAAATAGTATAATGACGTGGAAATAGTATAATGACGTGGAAATAGTATAATGATATGGAAATAGTATAATGACGTGGAAATAGTATAATGATATGGAAATAGTATAATGACGTGGAAATAGTATAATGACGTGGAAATAGCGTTAATGATGTGGAAATAGCGCAATGACGTGGAAATAGAAAAATGACGTGGAAATAGCGTAATGACGTAGCAATAGCATAATGATATGGAAATAGCAAAATGACGTGGAAATAGTATAATGACGTGGAAATAGCGTTAATGATGTGGAAATAGCGTAATGACGTGGAAATAGCAAAATGATATGGAAATACGCAATGACATGGAAATAGCAAAATGACGTAGAAATAGCGCAATGATGTGGAAATAGCAAAACGATATGGAAATACGCAATGACGTGGAAATAGCGCAATGACGTGGAAATAGCATAATGACGTGGAAATAGCGTAATGACGTGGAAATAGCGTGATGATGTGGAAATAGCAAAATGACGTAGAAATAGCAAAATAATATGGAAATAGCGCAATGACGTGGAAATAGCAAAATGACGTGAAAATAGCGTAATGACGTAGCAATACCATAATGATATGGAAATAGCAAAATGACGTGGAAATAGTATAATGACGTGGAAATAGCGTTAATGATGTGGAAATAGCGTAATGACGTGGAAATAGCAAAATTATATGGAAATACGCAATGACATGGAAATAGCAAAATGACGTAGAAATAGCGCAATGATGTGGAAATAGCAAAACGATATGGAAATACGCAATGACGTGGAAATAGCGCAATGACGTGGAAATAGCATAATGACGTGGAAATAGCGTAATGACGTAGCAATAGCATAATGATATGGAAATAGCGTAATGACGTGGAAATAGCGTGATGATGTGGAAATAGCAAAATGACGTAGAAATAGCAAAATAATATGGAAATAGCGCAATGACGTGGAAATAGCAAAATGACGTGAAAATAGCGTAATGACGTAGCAATACCATAATGATATGGAAATAGCAAAATGACGTGGAAATAGCAAAATGACGTGAAAATAGCGTAATGACGTAGCAATACCATAATGATATGGAAATAGCAAAATGACGTGGAAATAGCATAATGACGTGGAAATAGTATAATGACGTGGAAATAGCGTTAATGATGTGGAAATAGCGTAATGACGTGGAAATAGCAAAATGATATGGAAATACACAATGACATGGAAATAGCAAAATGACGTAGAAATAGCGCAATGATGTGGAAATAGCAAAACGATATGGAAATACGCAATGACGTGGAAATAGCATAATGACGTGGAAATAGCGTAATGACGTAGCAATAGCATAATGATATGGAAATAGCGTAATGACGTGGAAATAGCGTGATGATGTGGAAATAGCAAAATGACGTAGAAATAGCAAAATAATATGGAAATAGAGCAATGACGTGGAAATAGCAAAATGACGTGGAAATAGCGTAATGACGTGGCAATAGCATAATGATATGAAAATAGCGCAATGACGTGGAAATAGCAAAATGACGTGGAAATAGCGTAATGATATGGAAATAGCGCAATGACGTGGAAATAGCAAAATGACGTGGAAATAGCGTAATTTATTTATTTATTTATTTATTTGGATCCCCATTAGCTTCCACAATGTGGTTGCTAGTCTTCCTGGGGCCCATAAGCGTACTAAAACTTATATACAATTAAAATACACAAATATAACATACATAAATATAACATTACCGCATGTACACATTTATCTGCATATACACACTCATACAGCATTTGATAATATCAGTACATATAGACAGTCACAAATTAACTGATGTAATACTATTAATTGTAATCTGTTTTAGAGTCTTCTTAAAATTATATATGTTTGATATATGCCTTGTTCTTAAATCCAGTTTATTCCAAGCAGATGATGCTCTAGATAAAACAGTTCTTGCCATACAATTGGACCTTGCAGATGGAACCACTAACACACCTGAGCTCACCTGACGCGTAACATGTCTGTGACAATATCCACTAAAAATCAGTTTGTCTACAAAAGATCTTGGATTGTTTTTAAATAGAGCATTGTGCATATAACAGAGAAGACTTATATTAAGTTTGTCCTCCACTTTTAGCCAGCCCAAACGGGTATGCATTTTATCCACACTAGAGCGAAAAGAGCAACCAAGTGCTACTCTTGCGGCTCTATTCTGAACGATTTGTAATTTTTTCAGATGTCCCTTTGCAGCACTGGACCAAATTACTGGGCAGTACCCCAAATGTGACAGGACTAAAGACTGGACAACTGTTTTCATGACTGCTGGTGGACAATATACTGAACATCTCCTGGAAAAAGCAATACCTTTAGCCATTTTGGACACAATATGATCAATCTGATCAGCCCAGGAGAGCTGACTATCCAGCTTCACACCCAATAGTTTAGTCTGACTCACCTGCTCTACCACAGATGTGTCAACAATAAGATTTAAGTTGCAAGACTCGCCAAGCATACGTTTAGTACCAAAAACTATACATTTAGTTTTAGCTATATTGAGAGCTAATTTATTAAGTTTCACCCAATTTGTAATGGCATTAAGTTCATTCTGCAAGGTGCAACGTATTTCGTTTATTGTAGATGCTGCGTAAAACATTGTAGCATCGTCTGCATAAAGTACAACATCTGCTCTTGAAACAGCATATGACATGTCATTAACAAACACTGAAAATAACAATGGACCCAAACAACTGCCCTGAGGAACACCACATGACAACTGCTTACGATCAGAAAAGCTTCCATTGAAAAATACCTTCTGACTTCTACCAGAGAGATAGCTGCGTATCAAAGACACAGACTGATGTGAAAAACCATAGCACATTAGTTTAGAAAGTAAAATATCATGATCAATAATATCGAAAGCTGCTGTGAAATCCAGCAGCACAGCACCCACAAGATTTTTATCATCAATAAAAGTTAGCCACTGGTCTACCATTTGTACCAATGCAGTGTTAGTGGAGTGTCCTGGCTTATAAGCATGCTGTGAATTAGAGAGCAAATCATTTGAAACAAAGTAATGCATCATTTGATTAAAAAGTAACTTTTCAAATATTTTGCTCAATATAGGTAGAATGCTAATTGGTCGACAATTTGATTCAGTGAGACCTAATCTATCATCTTTCACTAACGGTATAATTTTAGACTGCTTCCAGATTTCCGGAAATACCCCACTAATCACAGATCTATTAAAAATGTGACTGATAGGCTTGCATAAGATATTAGCAACAGTTTTAAAAAGTTTGCCATCCAAATGATCTATGCCTGCAGTTTTTTCTTCCGGGAGAGAGAGCAATATCCTTTCAACAATTTCCTCTCTAACTGTACCAAATGTCAATGAACAAGATTTATTCCTCATGATGTTCTTCACATTACTACAAGGTGCAACCTTAGTGTATGATAACATACTAGATCTTAAATTTGCAGTTTTCGTTATAAAAAAGTCGTTCAAATGATTTGCTATATCCAAAGGTTTAGTAATTATTTCCTCTCCTGTTTCCAAATACATATTTGAACGCTTTGGTTTTTTACACATTATTTCATTTATAACTTTCCACAATTGCTTGCTATTGTTTGATGAATTACTAATCTTTTGGCTAAAATATATTTTCTTTTTCAATCTATTTAACTTTGTCACTTTATTTCTCAACTTACAATAATACCTTTCATCCATATCACTTTTAGATTTTAGAGTTTCGGCTTTGGCATTATCCCTTTCCCTCATTATAGATTTTAGCTCGGTATCTAGCCAAGGAGCATTATTGCCTTTTATCGACCTTTTTCTAATTGGTGCATGTTTGTCAACTATTTCCACAAACCTGTCCATAAAAATACGTAAAGAAGTATTGACATCCTCCTCTTCACAAACAGCCGCCCAAGTGGACCTTTCAACATCTTCCACAAATGCATTGGGGTCGAACGTTTTATAAGATCTTCGATAAACAATCCTTGCACCAAATTTAGGCAGTTTAGTTTTCTTTGCTGTGATGATTAAATTATGATCACTGCATCCTACTCCAACTGAGATGACATGTGAACACAACTCATACACATTTGTAAAGATGTGGTCAATACATGTCGATTTAAATTTACCATTCAAAGAAATTCTTGTGGGTTGTGTAACAATCTGTTTAAGGTTAGAAGCAGTAGTTATAGTAATCATCTTTCTACGTAAATAACACTTCTTTGAAAACCAATCAATGTTGAAATCCCCCAAAAGAAAAATATCTTTGGTTTGAGCAGATGCCTTCTCAATGATATCACACATCTTTTCCAAGTAATCTACATTTGAACTGGGAGGTCGGTAACAGCATCCCACTAAAATGGGTTTGTTAAATGGAAGATGTAACTGTAGCCATATCATTTCAATCTCGCTGCCCATCAAATCCTCCCTTGGAGTGACTGCAATATTCTCTCTAATATAGAATGCAACACCCCCACCATTTTGATTTCTGTCTTTTCTAAAAAGTCTATACCCCTCAACAGCTAGCTGTGAATTATCAAAACTGTGATCTAAGTGTGTTTCTG